AATTCTTCATCGTCGATCCATTTGCTGCGCTGTAGTGTCTTCCCTGCTTTGACGCATCTGTTTGTTTAATGGGGAAGTAGGTGCCTACTCTTGGGGGTCCTACCGTGTTGTACGCTCCAGAGCCCACGGTAACCACGATTGTTTCATGCGTTGTACTCTGAGGTGGCACCGCGTTAATTTCTGGATCACAGTCTCGCATCTCGATTAGCCCAATCTCTCTACATTTCTCCAACCAACTCTTTTCCTGTTTTATACTTTTACTTATCCTCTGGTCCCATTGATTCACATGATTGCAGTTCCCGTTACGCTGGTGCTCCTGGTAGGCTTCTCAGGTCCACTGCGACTTTACGCGCCATTTTCTTTCTGGAATATGAGGGCAGTGCCCATTGTCCGTTAATCTCCTCAGCTGTGAGCTGTTCCGGTGGCACGTTCACTTCATCTTTCATCTCAACACTGAGAACATGCTGAGGTTGGCCAAATGAAGTGGTTTGTTCACATTCCGTGTTCACCCTTGGTCTCTCTTGCTCAACTTCGTTGGCGGTCTTCTTGGGGCCCGGGCAGTTAACGGCGATGTGCCCTTTAGCTCCACACTTGTAGCACTCACGCTCGCTGTGGGGGGTAAATCTTCCTTGGCCTCCGTAACTTCCACCCCACGAGCCGCCCCCTCTACCACCTTGTTTGCCTCCAATCTTACCTTTCATGTAGGATCCGTAGGTGGCCCGGTAACCTTTGCCTTTGCCGCCTTTGCCACCTTTGCCTCCTTTTGTGAACTGTTTAGGCTTTGCGCAGTTCCTGGCTAAATCACCCATGCCTCCGCAATTGTAACATTTGGGGCCTGAGCCTTTACCTTTACCCTTGTTTACGGCGTCGACTTCTTCATGATCTCCACTGTCGCTTTCATTAGCCCAGGACCCGTAACTCCAAGATCCGTCCTCTGGCCACCAATTTCCGCCCTCGTCAACCCATCCTGTCTGATCCCAGACATTTTCGGACCCTTGACTCGTCTCGTTAATATTTCCAATGTCCATCGCATCTTCATTCTCAGTGTCTGAGTCGAGTTTCTTTTTACGCGCCCAATCTTCACACTTGGAGTATAGCTTCTGGAATGAGTCAATGTTAAGTGCGTCGGGCGTTCGCCAGCACGCCTGCTGCCACTCGTCAAACCAATCATTCGCATGCACCATTATTGCCCTGAGCGCGGTAACCTTAAAGGGGAGGGGCAGTGAGTAATCCTTGCCATACTTTTCAAGGTTCTCCGCTAACGCGCTCCACTCCTCAAGTCGGGTAACGGCGCCGGTAATTTTCTTGGGCGGCTCAGGGTTCATGGCGCGTGTCATCTTTGAGGAAAGGGTCGCTCCGGTAACAGCCGAGTACCATTTGTAAACCTTTTGCCAAGCCATAATTCCGTCACCATCCATGAGTCCCTTTAATTTTCCTCTTGCTTCTGCACCCTCGAGCTTTTCGTTAAGGATGTACCATAAGTCTTCCTCCATTTGAGTTTTGTCTCCCTCGGTAAACTCATACTCTCCTTTGTTGTCATCCTCTGCTTGTTTAGCTGGATTCGCCTTTAAGTATTCGCTTGCTGTTAACCGACCGTTCATTATGCGTATGATATCATCATCATCTTCCTCTGGTACAACTCCGTCGAGTGTCTCCAACTTCTTGTTCAGCATTTTCAGTGCCGGTCGGTAACTCGGTTTTACTTGGGCCAGTGCGTTTAAGAACTTGTCGCCCCAGTCTCTGAACTTTGCTCTTTCTACTGAAGTTCTTTAACGCCTGTAATGCTTTGTACTCGCTTATCGGTTTACCGCTCCCGTGCTTGCTTCCGTTTCCTCCTTTGATTGCTTCCGAAAGTTGACCAAATGTTTCAATTAACTTCTCTTGTACTTCGCTGTTTGTCTCCAACTCAGTGACCCTTTCTGCCAACCTGCGAGCACCCCTTTCAAGCGCAGCGTTTCTCTTCGTTATCGCTAACAACATGCTGTTGGTCTTCTGAGCGCTCTGTAACATTTGAAATGCCTCAGCGTTCGATACTTCCCTTCGGTCCTGCGTCACTCGCTCGTTAATGAACGTCGCAAGTCCATAATGATTTGCAAGTAACGCTGTCTGAACATAACTGAAGTCTCCGTTCAGGTATGCCTGCTCGCACAGGTCGTTGAAGCGATTAGGGCCCATGTTGACCCATGCATCTCTGTCCGCCGGCACATTAAGGTTAACCGGCGGGTCGCCCTGCGCGGGCCTAGCTGCAGCGGCCGCTGCCGCCGCCATGGCAACCGCGCCCCGCTACCACGCAAAACCCCGAGGAGGGTTCTGCACGGGAGCCCAGTGACAGCGATGACGATCGGTCACCTTTTTACTCCCGGGCGGCGAAGCGAGTCTCGGTGGCTTCAGCCGTTAAACACTTGAGCCAAAGGTAACAGGGTCACCTTCCCTCCCCAGTCACCTGAACGCTTACATGTTAACACCTCCTCCTCCTCCTCCTCCTCCTCCTCCTCGCGCTCGCCCCTGCTTAGACGCCGCTCAAGTGGGCGACCCTGGGGCCCTCAGGTCCAAACATGGCCCCGCGTGGCCCCTCCGCGCTCCTGGGGGCCATGGAGGACAGCAGAACCCTCTTCGAGGCGTCCGGGGCCCTCTGCGGAGCGATTCGCAGCCGAGAAGTGGGGAGCCGTTAAAATGCACCATGCCACGAGGAGTTCTTCTGTTTTCACATGTCTGGAGCTCTCGACGAAGTCGTCGCGGAGCCTCTCGGGGCCACCTCGGCATCATCTTGGAGCGTCTTGGGGACTCTGTAGTGCCGAATCAAGCTTGCCGAAGGCTTCGCAGAGCCATCTGAGGCAGTCCCAGGGGCGCCCCGGGGGTCTCTCGGGCTCTTGGGGCCGCTCCTGGGGCACTGGCCGCGTTGATCGGGCTCCAGCGGATGTCTGGAGGCGCGAGGAGGCGTTCCGTGCGCGCGGGGAACTGCAGCGCGGAAGAGACTATTGGCGCCATCTTGGCGCCATCTTGAGGCGTCTGGGGGCTTCCAGGGCCTTGACGGGGGCCCACTTGGCGGTCGTGGGCGCTCCCTATGGGCTCTCTTGGAGCGCGCAGGGGGCTCCATTGCGCGGTCTTGGAGCGTCCTGGGGGCTCCCTGGGGCGCGCCAGGGCCGTTCAAACCGATGTTGATTGACTCACTTGGGTAGGTGTACTTCGGGCAATCGCTGCGCCCAGCCTTCGAAGAAAGACCAGGGCTGACCCGTGGACTTCCGTCCACGACAGCTCAGTCCAATGCAGGGATGAAGATCGCGCGCCTGCTTGTATGCTTGTGTGCTGTCCTGCGCGCATGGCTGCTAGCCTGCTGGCCAAGCAGCTTCCTCCCCGACATTCCTGCTTGCATGGTGGCTGGGGTGCCTGATATCATGTCTGCCTGTTTGCCAGCCCGTTTGCTTCATCATTTGGTCGACCGCTCACTGCCGAATTCTACCGTCTCCTGCAATTTCTGTTCAGCGTTAGTGACTTACTGATGTTCGGAACCATACCGTTACTGCTTGCTGGTGCGGGCTGATGCTTGCTGCGACGTGTTGCTGATGTTCACTGCTTAATGGTGCTGTTGTTGATGCGTATTGCCGGTGATTCCTGCTTCTTGCCGCTGCTGTATTATGCTGGAGTCTAATGCTGATTGCTGTCAGCTGCTTCTGCTTGCCTGCTTACCTGCCTGCGTGCTGTTCTGCTCGCTTGGCGGCCAGCCTGCTGGCCCGACAGCTTGACTGCCTGCTTGTACGACCGCCAGCAGGCCTGATGGCTTGCGTGCTTGCTTCGGTGCCTGTGCATCCGCTCGCTGCCGATTGCTGCTGGTTAGGAGTTTCTCATTACTCGCTTTTGGTTGCTGTTTATTGCTTATGTTGCCGCTGGCTGCTTACTTGTGCGGGCGTGTGGTTGCTGCAGTTTGGTGCTGCTGCTCGCTGGTGTGTGGTGCTGGTTGCTGCTGACTGGCTGCTGCTGCTGTTGTTTCTGTTTCTGCTTCTGCTACTTGCTGTATGCTGCTCAATGATGGTGATGTGAACGCGTGCGGCCGCTATCCCATTGATCCTCGCCGCTGCTGCTGCCTGCTGCTGCAAGATGTTGCTGCCTGCTAGTGATGCTCCCTGATGTTGCCTGCTGCTGCTGCTGCTGCTGCTGCTGCTGCTGCTGCTGCTACTGCCTGCTGCTGCTGCTGCTGCTGCTGCTGCTGCTGCTGCTGCTGCTGCTGCTACCGCCTGCAAGCACTAATCGCTGGTCCGTCTGGGGCCGTCTCAGGGCACTCAAAGGGGGCCTCTTGGGCCAGCGTGGTATCTGCGTGGCCGTCTCGGGCCTTCTGGTCGCGTCGGCGTGGACCGACGCCTTCCAAGGGCCAGCGAGGTGGAGACGAACGGCGCGGAAAGCGAGAAGCATTGAGAAGACAGGTAGACCAGAACATCCTCGAGGTCTGCAGCCCCGCTGGGAGTGCTCTCGGGCCCGTCTGCGCGTCTCGCAGGACGCCCCGGCGCTGCCGGGGGGGCACCTCGGGAGCGGGCGCGGAGCCTCCGAGGCCCGCCCGAGGCCGCGCAGAGAGGCACCCGGGAGGCGCCTGGGCGCAGAGGGCGGCGTCATCCCCCGTCCACAAGTCCGCTTCGTACGCGCGGCGGCCGACCTGGGAGGAATGGGGGAAGTGGAGATTAGAGCACAGGGGAGCAGAAGGGAGGAAGGAGAGATCGGGCCTGGTAGTGGCGCCGCCAGGGGTCGGGTCGGGGGGGGACACGTACGGGGCGTGAAAACGACCACAGCCGCTGCTTTTCTTTCGCTGCCGCCTTCCAGCCCGCAGAAACGAAGCAGCGGTTGTGGTCGTTTTGGCTGAGTTTTTGGCACCAGGGAAATGACCACAACCACTGTTTCTTTTTCGGCCGGCTGGAAGGCGGCGCAAACAAGAAGCAGTGGCTGTGGTCATTTTCCCGTCCCGCAATACGCCCGCTGGCACGCGCCCCGCCCGGCATCGTAGTATGGATGACGTCGGGCTCCAGCTCTGCCTCCCACATCTCGCTGAGCAGCGCCAAGCCCCGCTTCCACTGCTGTCCCTTCTGGCACGCGGTGATCCCCGCGGTGATGCCGGCGCAGTAGCTGGCGGCGTAGGACTCCAGCTTCGCCTCCCACAGTTCGCTGAGCAGCGCCAAAGCCTGCTGCCACTGCCTATCTTTACCACAAGCGCTCACAGTCACAATATAACATCCTGGGCTTATTTTCGAACGTAGTTGAGATGCTTCACGGAAGAGATTAAGCGCTTCCCTCCATTGCCTCGTCTTCCCGCATTTCTTGATGGCCGCTTCGAATGACGGCTCGCCCTGCCGTGATCCTCGCTGGATTTCTAACATTCACGGAGACATTGAGCCATAACGGCTTGAGCCGAAACCCCTCGAGCCAAAACGGCTTTAGCCAAAGTTGCTGCCGAGGATCTGAGAAAGGTGAGAGGGGAAAGCGGAGGTAGTCGAACAAACGCCAGAACGTCATCTGACAACTCACTAAACACACACACACACACATACACACACATTGCCAACAAGAGCTGGCAAGAGCAGCAAGCGAAAGGAGGCCATCGCACGGGACACTCATTAGAAGGCGGAGCTCCCTTACAGACAGAGGGCCACGGCCAGCAGCCTGATCAGCCATCTGAAACTTGTTCCCCGCCCATCTTCAGGGTCTGCAGTGGTCTTACAAAACAGAGATATAACACAAGTTTTGCTTTTTGAAAAGAAAAAGTGAAGGCCGAAATCGTCAGCGGCGCTCTGCCAGGGCGGGCGAGACGAGGGCCCGTTGCCGAGCCACGTAGCCCGCGCGGGCCTCAGGAAGTCAAGTCTTCGTGCCTTCATCTCGTGTGCATGCGGCCGTCTTCAGCGTCGGCGAACGTCGACGCCGCCTCGTCGGATCGAGGCCGGGCGTCTCTGTTGGCTGCTGCTGCCCCTCTGTGTTGGGCCTCTGGGGGCCTCTGCGCCGCTCCTCTCGCTCCCGCTCCTCCCTCCGCCCCTCCCCCCCCCCTCCGGGTAGAGCAGGTGGCAGTGGCAGCGGTGGCAGTGGCAGCAGCAGCAGCAGCAGGAGGAGGAGGAGGATGGAGGAGGGGGTGGGAGGAGGAGGAGGCGGAGGAGGAGGAGGAGTAGAAGGAGGAGGAAGAGGAGGAGGAGGAGGAGGAGGAGGAGGCGGAGGAGGAGGGGGTGGGAGGAGGAGGCGGAGGAGGAGGAGGAGGGCCAAATGGTGAAAGTGGAGCACCCTGGCTCTGCTCTCGTGTGATGCCGCGTCGCGGATGTGCACCGTGCGTACTACTTCGATCAGCAGCGGCTCCGGCGGCGGGCCCCTTGGAAGAGAGTGGGGGCGAGCAGTAGTGCTCCTCCGGCGCAGCCGAGGCAGCCGAGGCAGCCAGCAGAAGCAGTACTCCTCTGGCGCAGTCTTGGGAGAGGAGGGGCCAGAGGGAAGGGACCATCGCGCCGAGCCCAAACGCACACGCCTGGGAAGACAGAGGACGAAGGCGAGAGGCAGAAGGGAAGGAGGGAGCGAGCGAGACGCCGTGCGGTCAAGAAGACCAGGCCCTCTCGGAGCGGGGCGCGCGGGGCGGGTAGCCTATCAGGGAAGGAGGGAGGGAGGAGGGAAGGAGGGAAGGAGGGAGGGAGGGAGGAGGGAGAAAGGAGGAAGGGAGGGAGGAGGGAGGAGCAAGGGAGGAGGGAGGGAGGAGGGAGTGAGGGAGCAGGGAGGGGAGTGAGGGAGGGAGGAGGGAGGAGCGATAGGAGGTATGCACGAGGAGGCAGGGCGGGCGGTAGACAGTGCAGGAGGGAGGGAAGGTCGCAGGAGGGACGACGGTGACGGCGACGAGGGGGGGCGAGATCTACCCACGTGCAGCGGTCATGGCCAGACCCGTTCTGGGTCTAGGATCGGTGGATGCACCTTCCTCATCCTCCTCCTCATCATCCCTATCATCACCACAATCACCATCATCGGCAGTCATCCTCCTCCAGCATCGTCTACCATCCTCAGCTTCCCTCCACTCCGCAATCGCCCTCCTCCTGCTACTCCTGCTCCTTTCCCTCGGCCTCGTCGTCGGCATCTTCCTCCTCCTCCTCATCATCCTTCTTCTTCTACTCCTCCTCCTTCTCCTCCAATCGCTCCTCCTCCTCCTCCTCCTCCTTCTCCTCCTCCTCCTCCTCCTCCTCCTCCTCCTC